AAATGTGTGAATCATATATTTATAATAATGAAGAAAGAGGGATTTTTAGTGGGATGTAACAATATATATTTCTTTCCAAGTAGTAAATTTGTTCTTTTGATTAGTTGTCATTTCAATCAGTGGTTCTTTCGATCAATTGTCCATTCGATCAATTGTCCGTTCGATCAATTATCCTTTCGATAAATTATACTTTCGACCAATTATCTTTTCGACCAATTTTCTTTTGATGAATTGTCCTTTCGATCAATTGTCTGTTCGATCAATTAATTTTCGATCAATTATTTTCGATCAATTGTTTTCGATCAATTGTTTTCGATTAATTGACCGGGTACGCTCAACGATAACTCGATCAACGTCTACGGTATCGATTCCGACACCGTGTACACTTGGTGTAACTTCGATCGTATACACGACTGTCTACGCGTCATTTCCATCTCTTGGTTCAAGCACCGGGTGTAATCGTCGAATGTTATCGTTCGCGCTACGACGCTGCTCTTTACACCCTTTGCCTTCTTCGTGTCTCTCTTTCCGTCCACGCGCAACGCGTACATCTTCGCTCTGAGTCCAACGAACTCGGTCATTATCGCGCCGTTGTTTTCGTCCTTCATAAGACCGGGCACCTTCTTGTTCGCGAGAGGCATACCGTACGCGTTGTCCGCCTGATAGTCGCTCGTATCGAATCTAGCGATATCGCGTTTCATCGCCGCGTACACGTCGTCGCATTCGACGCGATATATGAGACTGTCCGTGTCGGTGTACATAATTTTACATTTTTCCTTAAACATAGGTACCATGTACTCGTGGTGGAATTCGTACAAGCAGACTTTTGATATGTCGACTATACACATACCTACGTAAATCGGCTTGTTGAACTTCACCTCGAGTTTGCGCAATTCAACGGCGATTAAATTTTCCGCAAAGACGCTGCGGCTGTGGAAATTCGGTTTCGCGATCAATGTCTCCGCGCCGTACCGCCCGTCCCATGTAGTGACTAATTTAACGTCGACGCGATCGCGCACGTTCTCCATCGTTTTGCCGAATACCGCGTTGTTCATCAATTTGTATAAATTTTTTTCAAAATCGTTTTTCGCGCGCGTTCTGAATTGCGTGTTCAATTCGATGTAATCACGGAGCCAGGCTGATTGAGCGAATCGTAACACGCGATGGATCTTCGTTACGCGAAGGCCGTGATGTATGCATTGCTGAAGGTTACGGTAATGAATGACGTAACGCTGTTTATAGTACAGAGACGCGAGCAGTTTATTCTCGCGCTTGCCGAGCGGCTTATCGCGCGTCGGGCAGAACGGTAGGTCAGCGTGCGCGTCGTGAAGATGTTGTGGATACTCGAGATCTACCTCGAGAATGTACCAGGTGGGCGAATCCGGAGCGATCGCGTTCGCGTCGAAGTTCGCGGCGTCTTTGACCCATCGAAAATCTGCGTATGGCAGCGGTTGGCACATCGCCCATCCGTACAGGTTGTTAACGTCGTAGTACATTAAATACGACGACGGTTCCGACGAGTCGTACGACTGCATGTACTTGTTATTGGCCTTTGCGTATCTGCCGGAAAATTGACTTAGGCCACCGCGCATACCGCGCTCGATAAACATCACCATATCTATATCGGTGAGCAACTCGAATTTCACGCGCGTGTGTTTCAGCATAGCGTCCCACGTGAAACCGGGCAATGTGTAGTAATGCGCGGGATCGAGACCGTAACTCGCGACGCAACTTTCGCGAAAATTTTCGAAAACGTCGGTCAATAACAATACGTCGGTTTTCAAGTACAGATCGCTGTACTCGCCGAGGGTTCGCACGGAGAACCGCTTCCATACGTTCACGGCGTGCGCGTAATCGCTCTCGGACACTGTATCACCCGTCAGCGAGCTGTGAAACGATTTCCGCGGCGGTAAGCGTGTATCATTCAGTTTTTCGACGCAATCTACGTACTCGTAAGGAAATACTCCTTTACGAATAAGCAGATTGAAATCTTCGTCCGACAGACTCGAAAATTCGGATCTCACAATTTTTAATTTATCCTTATCGAGATAAAACGCTAATTTATCTAGACTCGAACTCAAAAATTTATAAGAATCAATGAATCGCAATTTAATACCATTTTTCTTAATATTATTTTCATCTTTTTCTTTAGTGCTGTCAACATATTTAGTGAACGAAATGTATTTTTCTTTAGTCAGAGGAAGTAGATCTACTTGCCCCTTGAATTTTGTAGCGATTTCTTTTATAACGAAGTGCGCGTCGTATCCCGATAGGTTGTGAAATACAATCGGTATGTAGAGAGAGTCCTTATAATTTACGTTGCATCCTTTATGCGCTGGGCCGCGGTATCGCCCGGTGAGGTGGCAGTGGTCGCGTGCCCGCTCGTCGCCCGGCGCGAACGGCCTCTCACAGATGTGACAGTGCGTTGCACTGTTGAATTTCTGCCAGTCGTCTCGCGTGAAATCCATAGGCTGGTTAGCGGTTATTATAGCTTTCGCGCGGTGCGCCAAGTCCTCGAGCTGGCGCGCGAACCAGCTGACGCAGTCGTTATCGCGACGAAACCGATACGCCGATAACGTGTCGTCATACGAGCACCGCACGTAGTACCCTGTACTAAATACTTCGTGCTGCTGGTACGCGTACGACGATGTCGGTGTTGCGGCGTCTTCCGTCTTTCGCAAGACGCACTCCAGGTCGGCGTACACTACAAACGGCGCCCGCTCCTTCATGCCGTAGTTGTGGAACTCCAACCACTTTTTCTACTCGCTAGGTAGGCAGATAGCGCACTTGTTTAATTTACCGCAGTCCTCGCTGTGGATCTCCAATTTTTCGTTGGAGAAAAAATAATGGAGGCAACTGAAAAAAAAAACATACATTAGTAAAAAAAATTTTTTTCTTAATATTTAATTTTTTATTTATTATACTTACCGATCACAAAAGAATTTCTTATTCTTCTTTTTGGAGAGTTGCGATCCTACGAGTCGGGATAGATGCTTGATCGTCACGAAATGTCCTTTGTCGCCGTCTTGCACGTACAGGAGATTGACGTGCCTCTCTTTCTTGTCATCGGTGAGCCGAAGAGGTAGGATGTTTCCGTCCTCGATACCGTAGACGTTGACCGACACATTGTTCGAGCGTTCGAATTTCGAAATGTCTTTTAATTTCACTGGAAATTTGACATCCGCGAAGTTGAGCACTGTAGAGTAATGCGGATACAACGATGCCCGATACACATGATTTTCTGCGGGGTACAGAGCGGCTACTACCGACCACGCGAAACACGCATTGTCGTTCGAACTTACGTTAACCAGCGCGTGCTTGTCCTTAATTTTCTTCGGCACTTCGACGTAGCATCCCGCGTGCATAGGATTAAGTTTGTTCACGTTCATCGTCAAGTTCAGGATTCGCGAGCGCCCACCCGCTGTCACGCTCCTGGTGCTCTTCGAGCGACGCCAACGTAGGCTCGATAACGCGCGACACGTACCACTCGCGCACATTCGACGCTGGATACAATTCGCAGTTTTTACTGTTTATACCCATCAAGGTGCGTTTATCGCCCGCAATGAACTCACCGTTGAACGCGGTGTTCACTTTCACGCTATCGTGTCTCTCTATAGCGCTCCGCATACGCTCGAGCACCACACTACCGGCGTCTTCCAAAAACTGTCGCGGTTCTATGTGTTCAAAGTTTATCACCGCACCTGTTAGAACGCGCCTCTCGAACGCGGCGTCGATCTCCCGCCACGCTAGAGATCTATCGCGATCACCACCACCACCACTACCCACGTGCACGAACCGTCGTTCCAACTACGTCCTCGCATCCGCGAGTCGCGCGATCCTCGCCACCGCGGATTGTCTGTGCCCGACGGCAAGACGCGGACGCTTGGTGCGGCAGAGCTCCTCCAAGCTCTCGACGCACTCGTCGCATCGTTGCATCCACGCGAAACACTCCGCCA